AGATAGATAGATAGATAGATAGATAGATAGATTATTAATATCATTATTACCAGTGAGCTTTCCCCTAGGGGACAAATAAAGTATTTATCTATCTATAATATAAATATAAATATCATGCTGCAATCTTTTTATACAGTAACAGTAAAAATAAAAAATAGAACAAGGAAAAAGGAACACTATACCTTCAAATATTTCTTAAGTCTTTTAAGAAAGTGTTTTACAGTATGATATTTGTGTACAAGTTTAAATGCCACATACTTTAGCTTTAGTTTAGATTTTATTTTGAAAATTTCCGCTTCCTCTCTTCGTCGTGAACTTTATGCGTATGACACACGGGAAACAAAATCGAACGTCTATTTGTGCGTACGCGTTGACGTCATTTCCCGGATGTGAAACTATCGCAACACGGAAGAGAAGGAAAGAAAACAAATAATCGTTTAAATTTGTGTCGGATTGGATTCGGAGAATACGCCCTGAAACACCTTTTACTTTCTGGATTAAAGTCTCCTGGTTCACGGTGAGAGTAACACGCTGTAGGGGGTGTCTTTGTGACCGCTGGGTTCAGCCTGTGTTGGTGGAGTTAATGTGGAAGAGGTAGAAACAGATTTAAAGAGCAAGGCAGTCCAGATAAAACACGGCTGGAAGGAGACTTAAGGCCTCAAGTCACATAAATAACTGCTGAGTAATATAGTCCAGGAAATAAGGTATAGGCAGGTATAACAGAGCTGAAACTGTTAGAAACTAACTTCGTTTTTCACTGTTGGTTTCATTATTCCTTTGGACATAAAAGTTCACATTAAGATTACTCCTCCACATTTTCACAATTACACAACTAGATCTGAAATGATTAATCGGATATCAAAATAATTCTCAGCTATTTTGATAGATGATTAATCGTTTTAGTTGTTTTTCAAGCCAAACAGAAAAACTTATCTTCCTTATTGCTCTACAAAATCCTTACAGTGAAAAATGATGCTTGTAATTTCCCACAGACCAAGATGACATCCTCAAATGTCCTGGTTTAATTGATTAGTTGTCTGACCAAAAATCCATATCCAAAGATTTTCACTTAACCGTGATTAATTAAGTGATTAATTGATAACAAAAGTTATACAAATTAATTGGTAATGACCAATTCCCAGAGCCTTAGATGATGTCTGACCAACAGTCCAAAACTCGAGCATATTCAATTAGTGATGATATAAACCAATGAAAAGCAGCGAATCTGCACATTTCAAGTAGAACCAACACATGTTTGACATTCTTGATAATTTAATTCGCATTTGTTGCTGATGTTCTGTCAATCAACTAATCAAATTGACAAATCATTTCAGCCCCAATGTAATTTTTCTCTTCCAGATTTCATTTCTGACAGAACCTGTTTAGTTTGACTGTGTTGACATTTTGCTTTTCAACCAGATGGAGTTCCTTTTTGGAAGGAAAAAGACCCCAGAGGAAATGCTGAGGCAAAACCAGAGGGCGCTCAACCGAGCCATGAGAGAACTGGACCGAGAGCGAATGAAGCTGGAGCAACAGGAGAAGAAGATCATCGCTGACATAAAGAAAATGGCCAAACAGGGACAAATGGTGAGAAGAAGGAAAAGAACTTATGTTTTACGAGGACAGAATAATTTGTAAAGAGTGGATTCTAACCGTGTGTTAATGTGTGTTATTTCAATCTTTGCAGGATGCCGTCAAGATCATGGCCAAGGATTTGGTTCGTACAAGGCGCTATGTAAAGAAGTTCATCATGATGAAAGCAAACATCCAGGCTGTCAGTCTAAAGATACAGACACTCAAGTCCAACAACAGCATGGCACAGGCTATGAAAGGCGTCACCAAAGCCATGGCCACCATGAACAGACAGGTCTGTCAAAAAATCACTGAAGTATTCTATTCCATGGAAATAACACAATGAGCTTCCTGTGTTCATGATCGTATATTCGGTCCATTTTCGCAGCTGAAACTGCCTCAGATTCAGAAGATCATGATGGAGTTTGAACGACAGAGCGAGATCATGGACATGAAGGAAGAGATGATGAATGACGCCATTGACGATGCCATGGGTGATGAGGATGATGAGGAGGAGAGGTAAGGGACTGAGAC